TCAAGCAGGACCTGCCCTTCCTGAACCAACGCTGACTGGGCCTGATCGCTTGCTAATTATTTCAAAGCACTGGGAGCTCCTGTGGGCTTGGTGGCCAAACTGTAGCTTCCATTTTCAGATAGAATCACAGCATGGTTTGGGTTGGAAGGGACCTTAAAGCTCCCCCAGTCCAACCCCTGCCATGGTCAGGGTCACCTCCACCAACCCAGGCTGCTCCAAGCCCCGTCCAACCTGGCCTTGGGCACTGCCAGAGAGGGGGCACCCACAGCTTCTCTGGGCAACCTGGGCCAGGGCCTCACCACCCTCACAGTCAAGAATTTCTTCCTAATATCCAGTCTAAATCTCGTCTTTCAGTTTGAAACTATTACCTCTTGACCTATCACTGCATGCCCTTGTAAAAAGTCCCTCCCCAGCTTTCTTGTAGGCCCCGTTCAGGTACTGGAAGGCTTCTATAAGGTCTCCCTGGAGCCTTCTCCAGGCTGAACAGCCCCAAGTCTCACCACCTGTCCTCATGAGAGAGGTGCTCCATCCCTCTGAGAGCAGTGTAGAGGGGGACAATCACCTCCCTCAGCCTGCTGGTCAAGGTTCTTTTGAAGATAGACTTTCCACTTCTAGCTAGACTAAGTGTGTAGTCATTATTATGAGTTATTAACACATCTGCTACCACAATGCCTGGACTCCTGGCTGATATCTAGGACTCATCCGTGTTAGCATGGTGTAAATAGCTGACCAACACAGGAAGTTTTGGATTCAAATATAAGGTGAGAAAATACAGTAGTAATGCTGATCAGCATGTTGGGTGCCTACCCGTTCTTGAAAGATAGGTAAAAGACTACTTAAAGAAAAAACACCCCTGAAGGTATATAAGATACTTAAAGACAATGAAGAGGAACAACGACAACTTGAAATGTCCATATTCATGCAAGGTTCCTCTCACTGTGTAGACTAGTACAAAAATAAACCCAAAAGCTGATGACTTTAATATCAGACATATTGGTGAGTAGGTCTAGCATGGGAAGAGAAGCCAATGTTTTGAAAGGATATGATGGTTGATAAGGAGAAAGTTCTTGAAAACAGGAGAAAAATATCTGATGTGGCAGTGAAGCAGTTAGAAGTCAGCAAAGGGAACCAAACAGAAGGTCACAATGAGACCTCGGAAATTCGTCTTTCCAAATGCTGCTGCCTGGATCAGAGGAATGTAAAGGCCAAAGAAGTAGATACTGCACTTAGATGTGAGAAGACAAGAATGTGAGTGATGTGGGTGAAATGAAAAGGTTGGATCCTGGGAGTGCTGCCTGAGATCCATCTGTGATGTGGATGAGTTGATCCAAGGGTGCCAGCCTGATGGGTATTGCTCATTGTCACCCATGTGTACCATTTCTGCACAGTCCTTATCTGATGTGTGCAAGTTCAGAGAAACCCTAACTTCATGTGTTCATCAATTAAAACAACAGTTGCCCTTTACGATGAGTAGGATAAGTGCTGTGGGTTTTCTTAAGAAGAGACTACAGTGGTGTAGGTTTGAGAGCCTTGTTCTGAGATTCAGATCTGCAGTCTGCTTCAAAGAGGCTTTTGAAGTCTTGAGGGAAACATGCTTTTAGCTTTCAGGGAAAGTGAGAGTACATGATCTCAACTTGCTGCTAATCTGATAAACTCTTTAGTTTTAATCACCCTGACAGTCTGTGGTAAACCGTGTGGTTAACTATTTCGGGTACAGTCACTTCTCTCGAAGCCACAGTCTGATGTAGTTTACAAGGCGAATTCTTTGATAACACAAAGATACAAGGGGATTAAATATCCCTTACACAGCTTAGCTGTTAAGATGCTCATAATACTTTTCATTGTTGCCTTCTTTGAACTTTATGACTTTTATTAAGTTACAAGATAATGAAAAGTAAAAAAGGGCAGAAAATATCAAAGCGAGAAAATGCTGGGTGGCTCTGAAAGAAAAGGGCGTTGCAGGACTGGGTCTGGGAGTTGCTGTCAGCAAATCATGGCTTTGTTTCAAGAAAAAGGCACTTTGGGGGTCAAGAGCAGATGCCAAATGTTGAACAGGGATCAGAGATTCAAGGCCCTTTCGCAGTCATTCTTGCCGGTTGCTAAGGCTGCATTAATTATGACTGCAGAAAACATGAAGACATGAGGACTGAGAAGTTTTACTGGTAATAGCTATTACTATTATGCATAAGCATAAAGGGACACACATCATGCACCCAAAGATCCCGAATGCCAGCCCTGATGCAACCAGTCTGTTTTATCTTTGAATTTCTCAGCCTTTAGCCATTAAATAATCATTAAGTTGTGCCTTTATCAACTTCTGGGTCTCCAGCTCAGTGGACTTTTCAAGTGCACTGAAATGATCTAACTTAATTCATTCCAGCTGATTGAGAAGTACATTTAGATGTGATTTGCTGATGACACAGCACTTCACGTCCTTGTTTTGGGACAAGTTATATTTCGGTATTTCACAGTGGGTTGGTTTGTGAAGTGCTGAGACAGAACTGAGAGTTTACTCCCCTTTCTAATGTTTGCTTACAGATGATTGCAATTTTTTATGGCTTAGTTTTGCCTCACTCTGGGCAGGCAGCAGCTCTAGGATATGATTGTGTACAGCTTCATTAGGAAAGTGTTGGTAGCGTTTCACGTTGCTGTCCTGGTTTTGATGGGACAGAATCATAGAATCAGTTTTTCTGTTCAGGAAAGCTGCATTTTTGAGAAGACTGCAGCACTCAATTTGATGGGAACAAAGTTGATAAGACACTTTGCTTTAGTTTTTGGCCAGCACTGCTATGCAGGTTGCCACAGTGATCAAGGTCTTCAGCAATTTTGAGTTAGCCAGGTGCAGAAGCTGGGGGAGCCAAAGCCAGGGCAGATGACCCAACTTGGCCAATTGAAGTATGTTATACCATAAACATCACGCTCACTATAAACTGGGGAGTTTGCTGGAGGTGGCCCTCTTTCCCCGACGGTCATCATTTCTGGAGGGTCTCACCCATCATTCCACTCCTGACACCTACTCCTCTGTTCGCTGTGATCATCACATTTTTGCTGGAGCTGTGGTGCTCGCAGTATTTGTTATCTAGCGTTCCCTGCTGGGAACACACAGCCCGCAATTACTATATAAGCTGAGTATAACTTTATGTACTTTGTATTTGTATTAGTATTAATAACAGGGTTTTTAAATTATTATTTTATTAAATCTGTTTCCATTTCAACTCACGGGTCTCCTTTCCTTTTCCCAATTCCCCTCCTCATTGGGTGATAGAACAACTGCCTAAACAAAGACAGTTGCCCATCTGCTGGGTGCAGGAAGAAAAGGCTCAAGAAAAGGCAAGCAGGGGCAGGCGCAGGGAGATAGGCCTGGTGCCTCCCATCACTGCACCCAACTGCTGCAGAGCATCCTTGCTCCAGCATCCTTTCTTCTCCAGAAGAAACACAAGAGATTTTAATCAGCCTGTCCTAACTTAGAAAATGTAGACAAATACAGGCTTCACATCACTTGTTGGAGACATTCCCAAGGGATTTTTTTCTGCATCCTGAACAAATCTAGACTTACAAAATCAATGGAAACAACTAAGTCCAATGTGAAGAAGGCTTTGGAAGGTGGGATTGTTCTAAAATTAAAACTAAATATGTTCACTTTCAATAGCTAATATTTTTTTCAAACATTCAGAGCCTCTCCTTGGGTTAGAGACAATTAAAGAAACAAAGCTTTGCTACCCTCGTGACATCCGCTTTCACCCCTCAGCTGTGATTTTAGCCCTGTGGCTGGGAGCAGAATTAGGCTTCCTTCACTGAGCTCTGGGCATGATCCGGTATTGATAAGACAGAAATCTGTGGGAAGTCTTCAGTGAATAAGGTAGAAGCACAGCATGTCCTGATTCTCAGGCTTTCTATTTGCAGAAGAATGCCCACCTCTGCCAACGATCGAGTTTGCTGATGTTACTGCTGAAAGGTATCCACTGGGGACCAGACTCTATTACGAATGTGTCAGTGGCTACAAGAGGAGAAGTGGCCAGTACTTGGGAATTCGGTGTCAGAATACACAGCAGAAGACTTCAGGGGACTACAAGGGACTTGCTTCTTGGGACTACAAGGAGTTTGAATGCGTTGGTAAGTGATTACTGTCCTTTTTCAACATTTGTAGAGGTGTTTTTTGCAATGAGTCAGTATAGGACACATCTGGCCATTGCCCTAACAAATGATCTTTTGCACTCATCTTTGCAAATTAGAACTTACAGCCACTCTATCCTGCCTCTAAAAGTTTGGGTGCTCTGGCTTTGCTCTGCTATTTGTCCTGCTGTAATTCAGCAAATATAAATTCTCCCACAGAAGAAAAAATTTTGTTGTCTACGGCTCCCTTGATGGAGTTAAATTCTACGCAGAAGCTGGAAAGAAATACACAGAGCCCTATGTCTCAGAAGAGAGAAAACCTTTCAGAGTCTAACCAGAAAGGTAAGTAAAAGCCCATTCATTACCATAACACTGCTCCCACTGATTTTCATGGAAGCAGTGTAAGAGTAATGAGATTTTTAAAATATTTTGACAGAGAGAAAGAAACAATTGCTATATCTTAGCTGAACAACTGATACTGTGTAAGCAAATGAGTATTTTGTATCTTAACAAAGAATTAGGAAGGCTTGGTATATCCTGCTTGTCTATATTTTGTAAGAGTACAAACCAGGTTGTTTCAAGAACAAAAGCAGTAGGTAAAATCTGTCTGCTTTTAACCATCTGCTTCCTCGTGACCCCACAGATTTTTGTGGTCCTCCCAGGACTGTTCCACATGCCTCTTTAAGCCTGAACAGACGGTATTATGTGGGACAAGTACTATATTTCAAATGCCAGAGCGGTTACGATAAGCGACCCCCGACCTCTGGCACCCGCAGCTGCAAGAAGGTGAATGGCAAAATCAGGTGGACCTCACTTCGCATGCGATGCGCCAATGACAGCAGCTACAGCGATGAGTGGCTGCCACAGACTACAGAACCAGGTATGATGGTTGCTTTGGTATCACATCAATGTCATGACCTATTCCTGCAGGGTCTGGACCCCCCAGCTCAGCTCATCACACCTGCTTGAGGTTCAAGATGCAGATCAGTGACCTCAAGGCTCTGACACTGATGGAGATGTCACCTCCGACTGATGGAGGTGACATCCCTGGGGGGGACATAGCTGCATAGCACTTTGTCTTGGGCGTCCTTTCATACTAACTGCAAAATTGCAGGAATTTGGGAGTGGATAGAGCAGCGCTGTCACATACTAAGAAGAAAAAAGTAGAATAAGCCTTTTTCTTTTCTCCTTCCTCCTGGCAGCTATAGGTCATCTGTTATCACTTCACAGTATAGTACTCCAAAAGGTGTATCTAAGCACCTCTTGTGATTGCTCAGGGTTTTAGGACTCAGAGTTTAGCTAGTCCATAGCTAAAAATGAATGATGGGGCTTGATTGTTAATTTAGCAGCCAGGATGCTGTTTTGAACAGCAAGACCACCAGTATTGCACTGTAGTCGTTATGGACCCAGATTCCGCAGGACATGCATCACTGTGGTCTGGTAGCTTGAGTTTCACTGCTCAGGGAGCCAGAAGGACTCTCAAGTAAGGCTGCAAAACGTCTGTTTCTTGCTTTGATACCCTTAGATGGGTTAATGCAAAAAAAAAAAGGACCTTCATGGCCTCTAACTCATCAAAATTACCTCTCTTTTCTGAAGGCATCTTGCCTAACTCTATAATGAATTAGTTCAATATGCAGAGAGAAAACAGACCCCCTTTACCAAGCATCTGTGACAGCACTGAGGCTCTTGGGCCATCTCTGGGGGGCACACAGAGCTGTCGTAGGTGGAAGGACCCAGATGTCCACCACCTCCACAGTCCTCAGGCTTTCATCACCTTCCCAACCTCCTCTGAGGTAGAGGATTGCTGCGGGCTGATTTTGATAGAGGCAGCAACTAACACAAGATTGACACAAGAGGACTTTTCCTACCAACAGAGAGTGGAAAAAACTGGTTTTCACCAGTAGTTTGGGAATTTAAGGGAAAATTCATATTGCAGAACTGTGGATGTCTATTACTATTGATGCCTACATCTAAGCTGGACTGGCTTTGTAACTGTTAGAGTGGGATGGGTGTTGGTGGTGCTGTGTTAGCTGCCCTAACCCACAAGCCCTATTTTAGCATGAGATGAATTGCACCCTTTAAAGGCTTGTTTCTCCCAGTGACTATAGCAGAGCCCAGATGACTATCTCAGAGGCCACATCAATGTAACAGTAGGTGAGATGAGTGACAGCCCTTGTGACCCATACCAGGCCATGTGGTAGGGCAGGATGGTTTGGGCAGGCTCTTTTGCCTGCTGAGCAACCTCTCAGATGACCTTGTGCCGTCGTTGCCTCTTGTAGCTGCTCTGACTGTGAGTATTAATCATCTTACTCACTAGACACACTATTTCAGCATTAACCCAAGACTTTTTCCCATTCTTCACAGATCCGACTGTTTCCCTGTGGTGCCCAGTTCAGAGTGTTTCAGGTACAGCAGTCACCATTTGTTGTTTGGTCTTTCCTTCTCCTTCAGGACAGTAATTTTTTTTTTCCTTTGATAATTTAATTTGGTATTGTTAGGATGAAGGATCTTCTTGCTATGGTGGAAATAACCCATCAACATACCAGTCCTAGAAAACGATACAATCTATTGAATAGTCAGAGATTACAGTCATTTGAAATTTTAAAATTAGGATTATGAACAACATGAGACTGGATGATGAAATACACCATCTTGGCCTTTAATTCAACAGAACGATAATTCCAGTTTCCTGCAAAATTACACTCAAAGCTGAGTAGCTTGTTGTAATTAATGCAACAAAAATGTATTCCCCCAAAGTGTTGCCTTCCTTTTTGTTATGATGTGACATCTTTAATGGGCCTAGGTAAGGAATATCATCCTCTTTCTCAATTCTCCTCCCCAGCATTCAGCACAAAGAGATTTATCAAGAGATCACTCTTATGGGACCTTTTGTTAAAAACGTGCCCATATTTCTTACTAGCTCAAGTTCAGAGCTTCCTCTTCAGGATAAGGGAGAACTTCAATGAATTTCTTGCACTGAGGAATTTTTGGGCTACATTTCTGAGGAAAAAAAAGAGGTCCTGTTCGAAGCCATGTTTCCAAATCCTAGCTTGGTACCTTGAAAGTCATCCTTCCCAGTCTTATGCAAAATAGAGTTCTTAACTGGGACCCATTCCCTGAAAGATACAGTTCACTTCATGCTCATCATTAGCAGATATCAGATCAGCACATATGTTGATATCCAGGCTGGAAATGCCTATTGATGGCCAAGAGTCAAACATAGTAATTATTAAGTCTGCTGTGTAGAGGGAGGGCTGTCAGACCTAGCCTGGCTCTATCCTCATCACTGCTTTAAGAAGAGTAAATTGATACAAAAATCAATAATTTCTCTCTCTTTGTAGGTCCAACTGAGCCATTCTCTTCCTCATCTGTGATACTGCAAGTGACAGGTATGCATTTTGTCAGTTGGGCTCAGACTTGCCCCCATCCCCCAGAGCAGTTACTTTGCCTTTCAATTTGCTGTTCTACCCAAGAGATCCATCCCTCTTGTAAGAGCTCATACACTGCAAGGCACATCTATGTCCATGTACTGGCTGAGAAACCAGTAAAGAAAGTGTAAATAGAGACTGTTTAAGCACTTAAGCTTTTTATAGAGAGGTTTACAAAGACTCATAAGGGGTGTACAACAATTGATCAACCAAAAGTCTAGTTTTTAAATGAAGCCATTTTCAGATTCTTTCTCTGAGACTTTCTGTGAATTCAGTGAACAACTTCAAATGGAAAAAAAAAAAAACCAGGAAAAATGTAAATATTTAAATGATGTGTTTCTTTCACATTTTCAAAGGAGTAAAAAAAAGGGTGAGCAAATAAATTGTTTTCTCACAGCTAAACTGAAGAGATTTTCTTCTCCCCCTCCCCATCTCCCATTCAACAGTTAGCTGCTAAAATAGAAATTATTTTACTGTGCGTGTGCTCAAGACTTTGTACAACGGCTCTTGATTCCAGCTGGAGTCTGCTGAAAACTGTAGTGCACATTATAACCAGGAGGAATAGTGGAGTGAGATAAAGAAAGCGAAGGTTGAGTATGCAAACTGTGCCAGAGACCACAGCATCAAAAGCTGCTGGTTATTTGGCCATGGTTGCTCTCTTGTTGCCCAGGTCCTCTCTGGCTGGGTCCTGTTTGCCCCAGGGAGCAAAGCAATGGGGCAATATTGAAGAGCATAGGAGCAAGATGAGCCCCTATCCCAGGTCTTGCCCATTTTTTCCCAGCTGGAGTAATTGCAGGAATAATAATAATAAAACCGGGTGCTAATTGTGATGATTTTCTGTTTCAACAGCTACCTTTTTTGTTCTGCTTCTCATTGCTGCTGTCATTATGTGACCCACCAAACAGAGAATACAGTAAGTGGGAAAGAACCAGGGAAAATATGAAATCTAAAAAAGATGGAAGAGCTACCAACTGGATCAGCCATCTGACTATTGCTGAATATTTTCTTTGGTGTTAAATGATTGACCCTGGATTTCGGGTTGTCTGGTTCAGCTATTGCATACTGGCATAAGAAAAGGAGGAACTGAAGCTTTTGAAATCAAAAAGCACGCTTTGTCCCAGCCATTGTGGGACTGAAAATGGCAGTTCAAATAACGGGTGGAAAATAAATCCCATGGGGAAATTAAGATTAATTATGCAAATGTGTTGGTTTCAGATAGATTACACAATCAGATGTTTTCTCTCTAGCTAGCCTGTGGGAAGTCTGGTGGACCATCTGCCACCATGACCACGTAATTCTTCTTTCATCCCCCTGATTTCTCAGTCATGTCATGATAACTTTGTACTTCAGACTTATTTTAGTCTGGCCTCCTCGCTGTTTCTATTACTACAGCGAGATGCACAAAGGGTGTTCCTGTTCACAGGCTCCCCAGCCTAGTTAATCCAAGATGTGCCTATCTGACACTTGGGAGTTCTCCTTTTCTCCTCTCTCTTTGCTAATCCTCATCCTTATTTCTCTTCATGTTCCTTACTTGTTGCTTATGGGCTCTGCTTCTCTGCTGAATCGGGATTTTTCACAAAGAGAAGAGGAAGACCTTGTGAAACCACATCAGCAGTGGTTCTTTGCAAGTTCACGATAGGATAAAGCCATAGCAAGCATAGACAACACTTTGAAACCTCTTAGTGAAGATGGTCAACCATGGTGAAGATTGCCTGGGAGACTGTGGGATTTCTGAGAATATGACAGGTAAAAAACTGTCAAGAATTATCTACATTTCACTGTCCCTGTGGTGCAATAAGTGATGAAATAACCAATACCAGGTGAAATAGTAACTGAGATCCTAAGTGGTGTCATCTGCAAAAAGTACTGTGTGGTTCCTCATAGTAAATACAGATGAAGCCATAGAAATCCCAGCCTCTTCCCAGTTGTAGCAGAGTCCTTTTCCTGCTGTAGAGAAGACTTCTCAGGGAACTGTGGTTCAGATCCACAGTCATGAAATCAATGCCTTGCCACAGAAGAAACCAGATTGCACCCACAGCTCCAAAACCAGCAGTGGCAAATGAGGAGGAAGGCTGGATGATCAAATCCAATGTGTGAAGGAGGCAGAAAATATTATGGCTTAATTCTTATGGGAACAGAGTGACTTTCCACTTACAGAGCATGGGTGGAGGGAGTGCACCCCATCATTGACAGATGGGGAAAGAGCCCTGCCCGAAACTGCTTCCCAGAAACACTTCTCCTCCTACCCTATAGCAGATGTATTGCTAATATAACTACAGCCTTTCCCTAGAGACCAGGTACATATGGACCACTCGCCCAAGCACATTAGATGATGGCACCGTCATTACAGCCCACACATCACCTTCCCCACAAAGAGAGATGGTGGACACCTCATGTCCCCCCATTCCTTCCCTACCCAGAGAGGTCAGTGCAGTCAGACTTCTCCTCACACTGCTCCTCTTGGAAAAGGAAAGTAAACTCATTTACCCTCTTCACATAAGCTGAAAAATCTTACTGGACTCCCTC